CATTATATAAAATAAAAAGAAAAAGAAGACGTACAACTTCTATAACTTTTATAAATAATAATGACATTATATGACAACTGTTGACATCAAAACCGAATATCCCTAATTGAGAACATTCTTAGTGAACTTAAGAGAACCTTAGAGTTAATTAATAGAAGCCCTAGCTGCAATGGAGGTCCTCGGCGCCATCTCAGTATCAAATCAACACCTCGGTCTTACCACATCGGTTTCCAAGATGCAAATAGCACACCCCAAGATCGTCCCAGCATTGCACAAACACCTCGGGATCGTCACCTCGGCTCGAAAAGAGTCCTATTGGAAGGTCGTAGAAGGTCACAACCCCGTAGGACGACCGATGTCACGAGAACCCGACTTCATCCCGACAAAAGTGACGCCTGTCACTCAGTCAAAGGGGTGCCCATGCTTTCATCATTGCCTAAAAAAGTCTACTGGAATCGTAGCCTCCCCTTAGCCGTCATATCTGCATTAAATGCCGCCGACTTCTCTTGGAAGGTGTGCCAGATATAACAACAAATAGCAGCATTAAAGTCGATACGAGGATCCACTTCCAACATATTAAATTCAGGCATTTATTACCTCGGTGTCCTCTGTTACCGACCTCCTGTACTGTAATACCGACTTACCATCCTCTGTAACCGACCTCAGCAAATTCAGTAAAATCTCTATTTTCTACAACTTTCATTGTGTTTTAAATCTTAATCACGTTGGTTAAATCCGTTTATCAACAACAACAAAGTTTATAATAAAAAGATAATTAAGTATTATATTGTGAACAAGAATAAGTGAAACTGAAAATTTTCTCTTATATCAAAGAATAAATATATATACTAAAATCAAATTTATATTAGCATAAATGTATTAGTGAGATAATATATTAATTATTTTACAAGCTAGTCCTAACATGCTTATATTTGATATTCTGGTTAAAAACAACGCTGATTAAAAGAGGTGAAAAATAGATGATAACAATTTTGCATTTTAGACTTAAACAGACAAAGCTTGTTAAAATAATTCATTTAATATATTTGTCTCGTGCATCGCAAGATACGTACTAGTTCTAAAGAAAAACTTGTTTTATTTCATTCTCATAATCATTTCATTATTCAACTCATTTCATTCCTATTAAGTTTCATTCCATCATACCAATCATATAAGAAAAACTTTTTTTTTAATTTTTTTGGCAGAGAAACAATATAGATTGATCTTTGTTTCATCATTCAAAATATGCCTCAATTATCTTTCGATTACCTACAACCTGCACAAGTCCCTATTTCTCTCGGAAAACTTATTCTCCAAATACACCCAGCTGAAACATCTTAATTCTTCTCTATTCACCAACAAAAAATGCGCATTGTAGAATACGATCATTTGGACAATGAAAAAATTTAAAAAAAATTACAAAAAGACAAATTAAATAACAATAAGCTTAAAACTCATGTGCACCACACAGACAATTTATTACTTGAATCACATAGAAATCCATATTTTATGCCATAGAAGATGGAGTCATTGAACAATGTAATGATAAATGAGTTGAGACCAAAATATTAAAAGCCCCATATTTGGGAAAGAGAAACATGTGATATACTTATGTAGATGTATTGTAAATCTCGTTCTACGTTTAAGCCAAACCTATCAGTGTTTTTGAATGAATTCCATTAAAAAATTAGCAAACGTAGGTAAATGAAAATAGTTTGTCGACATCAATAGGTAATAAGCAAGAACACTTGTTTGTTTTCCTCCTGCTTAACGAAAAAAATTGAGATCACCCTGATTTTCAAAGGCATGGTTTCACACTGGTGGGAAATTAGTTGGAAATTAAACCATAATGAACGACATATTGAAGTTCAATAATATCTCGAACCTTAAATTAGATCCGGGCCACAAACAGATTAGTTGAGGTCCAGAAAATCACAAAATTAATATGAACAACACGAATCCCAGCCTAGGTGGGTGAATGATAGTGAACTCCTGGAACTTGAGGCAAACAACAACAACAACAATATAGCCGCCTTTAGTCTCAAGCAAGTCGGGGTAGGCTAGAGATGAAACCCAAGAGAAACACAAAAAGACTCGAACCAAAAGGAAGAGATGAGAAAAAAAAAAAAAAAAAAAAAAAAAAAAACGAGAGAGAGAGAGAAAGGAGCAAAAGTCACGATTCTGGCACGTTGATAGCGAGCCAACCGCTCCTATCCACCGCTAAATCCTTAGAGATATTCCAATCTTTAAGGCAAAAGATTTTATGCCATAATCGGTATGCGAGTTCGATATGCTTATATCAATCGTTCAACATTCACCCCAATGAACAGAATCGGTAGGTGTACAAAAGGCTCCACCCCAGATCTGGCAGACGTGACAGACGACCTTAGGCTTTGGCCGCTCGTTAAAAAACAAAACCCTTACACTGTTTATTACGTACGACTTCACCCCGCTTATGTCCCAACCAGAGACCTTAACAACATTACGGTAAGAGACAGCTTTTACTGACACCAACCAATAACACCAAATCTATTTTAACTAACTAATTAATAAATTAATTAAATAGAAAAATATCAAGCACAATCAGACCATCTAAAATAAAAAATAATAATATAAATATAAATTAAAAATTGACTTTATTTACTTGGAGGTCTTGGTGTTTGAATGACTGGAAGTAGAAGCAGAAGGCGTCGACGTAGTTGAAGAAGTACATATCGCATTCACTCCGTGCAGTGACCAAATGGGTCTAGCAGACACTAATGAAGTTCGTGCCGAACAGTTTTTCTAACCATGGCGACACGTCATTGTTCTTACACCTTTTCCAATGGAAAAGAAATCTTCCTCCCCGTTTAATTAGTACCTTGCAAATACAACAAAGAAAATATCAAATAAAGATGGCATTAATTTTTCAAAATGGAAACTCAAATAAGAAAATGAGTAATGTTGTTGCCTAAGAAAAAATTGAACTGTTATTCTTCAAAACTTCGACATGAATTTTAGATATATAAATATAATATTTTCCATTACACAAAGTATTCAAACAATGCATATTCATTGTAAACTCAATTGTTATTGAACTTAATCAGTATTATAACATATACCTATCACATTAGGAATCAACAAAGTGAAACCTCAACCAAGTACAAAAAATCAGATACATAAATATGTAAAATAGGCGACACAATAATAATATCATACTGTGACACGATAGTTATAATCAATACCCTAACAAAGAGTCATTACCACACTCTGAGAACAAGGCCTTAAACGAATGCAAACATAAAACCAAAAGGGAACTTATGAGCTTTTTCTACACGTGTGACATTCTTTATCCCAAAAGTAATTGTATAGCCATCCATTGACTTATCATCAAATTTTAATGCGTTAGCATCTCCTTCAACCCACACGAGGGATTTATCGCTTCCAAGACCTTCATGGAATATGCATTCCGTAGATGACGTACAGAAAATAGAGGATCGAGTTACTTCTCTCTTGGGCCCTATTTTTGCCAACTTTCAACATATTTGGGTTTATATTACATACAAATATTTGAGTTCTTTTAAGTACATTATCATCATGAATATCTCTCATTGCTCTATGACGAACACTGTTTATACTTTCCTTGAAAGCCATATCCCATGTAAAATAGAAAAACTCTTTAATCAGGCATAAATATGGAAACCAAACAGCATTAACTGTCGAAATAACAAATAAAAGTTTCTCCCAACATGATAAAACATTTCAACACAACTATGAAGTACAAAGAATGAAGAGTTGTGTAGTTAAACATGATATGGATACTATATATAGAGAGAGCACTTTCTTTGCATCTAACACGATTAGAACTAAGTTTTTCATCCAACTTCCACACATATATTTAGTACATAATTATTTGACAATATCACAGATTCAGTCGTTTCCTTCCCAGACCCATTTATAGTTTGTTTGAACAAAAGGGAACCTCACATAAAGAAGTTCAATACGTGGTACAGGCCCATCAAATATAAATATATCCACATATCATATCAACATCCAAATTGACTCAACAAGCATTTCTACAAATAACAAATTGAATCAAGTATGCTAGAAAAGAAAACAATCACTGCTTCTAACATTCTCTATTTCCATTAGCAGAAGCAATTAAATTCATTTTTCTGGTCGTGATATGCACAACAGGACACATACGCACATATGGTCGCACGTGGACATACATAAACAAACAAGTTATTAACATAACTTAATTACCCTCACCTGTTCCACCAGCCACATGAAGATGTTTCATCCCCGGAAACGAATTCAAATTCGAAATCAATCTACAAATAATTGGCAACAAAAGAAACCCACACGTGTTAAACTTTAATGTAAAGAGAAAAAAAATAAATGGAAAGAAATAAGACCAACCTCTCTTTCCACAATTTATGCACACCACCACTCATCAAGTCATTCATCGTGAGATTATAATTCAAGGCAACGCTAGTGAAAACATTACCCACCAATTGACTCTTTTCATACAAAACCAATAACCCAAAAATCACATGATTTTCATGAAAATAATGAGTTCAGTGAAAAGGGACATCAATCGAAGCTGGTCGAATGAGAGTGCAAAAGCGAGCACGAATTGAATAGCAGTGAAAACGCCTAATTGTTCTATGAAAAACTTTACCAATTTTTCTTGCACTCGAGTAAGAAAAACGATGCAGCCGAACATAAGGGTTAAATGAGAAAATAGGAGAAAAAAATGAAGCTTCGAGAAATAGCTGGACATTTTTTCACAAAATAAAATATTAAAAATAAAGTGTACTGAGGAAAGGATGTTAAGGGTTACAAATGGTAATTCACATCCAAATTCTCTACGTGTCACAAGGTTAGGCAACATGCCAAATAAAAAATAATATAAGCTACAGGGTCCAAACTGCTTTATATCAAATACTTAGATAGATGTATGTATATACTATATATATAATATATAGAATTATAAAATATGTTTTGTTCGCGAACGCTTTCGTGTTCGTTCGATAACTAAACGAGCATAATTTCATGTTCGAGTTCGGATCGATTACTAAACAAAAGAGCTGTTATCGAACACGAATGAGCATTGTTTGTGAAGTTCGATAACAGCCCTAAGTAGTAGTACGTAATCACAAGCCATAAGGGAAAGGGAATGTAAACTCTCCACGTAAAAGAAACTATAAATGTTTTTATTAACTAAAGGCAAAAATAACATTAATGCTCTCACTTGCAACGAAAAATCAAACTTAAAAGAGGCAGGCCCAACCTTTCCCTATCATGTTCCGGCTTTACGTCTGCCAACACGAGCAACAAATCCAGCCTTGATTGGAGCAACCGACCTCCCAAAACCGCACTATAAGAATTCCAGGACAAAAAATCCTCATATTAATTTCTAAAGCATTAAAGTCTATAGCAGTATAAATACAACTAGTTGAAATAATTTTCAAAATTAGCTGATGGGAAAGGGAGAAGCAGAAGAAACATAAACTGTAAAATATACAACAGCAACTCTTATCACACCCAAGGCCTCAGAAATATAAAGTCTCATTCAAGACAAAGTATTCAGACAATGTAGGCAAATTGATCAATCATCAAGTAAAATGTTTCGCTTCCAATTGATTTTGTTCCAAATAAAAAACCAGAGTTGCATGAGAAGAAATGTGTACCTTTTCACATCGGAGGAAAAAAAGACGGTTCTCCTTTAAGAGGATGGTATCTGGACTTTTGCAGCCATTGCATATGACATACTCATCTGCCGACATCAATCAGAAGCAAATATAATCAGGCACAAACATCTATAGACCTTAAAGGCCAAAAGGCAACATAAAAAATGATCAATATGTAACTTCCATAAACGTCAGGCTATCATACAACACAGTACAGGAGGAAAGAACTTACTGATATAACGCCACAGAATACCCTCAATTTTCTTGGGAGCAAATCTCCCTTTCACGACCAACCTTTGTTGTCCATCCAAAGATCCACTTGTTCCCATTTCAGCCAGCAAGAAAGTCATAACATGCTCAGGTTGTCTATGCATCCTACAATAAAAGTAAACTAAATTCAGAAGTTATTAATAAATATATATCAGCATTTTATTCATGTAACAGGTGGAAAAACATGAAGACACGCAAAATCTGAACATGTAAAAGAGGAAGTTGGAAAGAAGTGAAATGAACCAATTAGATAAAAATGTCGAAACCAGATCCCTCAAGCATAGTTCCATCATTAGAAGTTTTTGACTTTTACAGAGGAAAAATGTCAACAGCTAAAAGTTGCAGGAAACTTCTTTTGAATTCTTATTTAGGTTACCGGAAGATTCAAACCATAACTATCCAAAGCACCAACTAGCTGGAAATCACAAATCTCGATTTCAAGAGGGAGGACAAATTTAAGATAAAGAGGGAATTACCATTGTAGCCCATGAAAAGAGTACAAAACAAAACCTCAAGTCAATTTTGGATGTATAATACTCCGGGATATTGAATCTTTTCATGGACAAAATTACAGAAAAATTCAAAAGAAAACTGCACTTGTTTGAGCTCCAATTAATGTAGAACATGAACTTAAATTCAAAATTGATAAAGAACTATTTAACCAATGAAAAGAGGAACAAAAAAATTACTCAGATTAATTTTGTATAAACGAGGCTTGGGAAATTGAATTTTTTAGAAGACAATAATTTAGACAAATCGAAATAAAACCGCAACCGTTTGAGCTCCAACTAATGACGAACATGAACTCAAAATCAAAACTTGATAACGGGTATTGTAGCCCATCAAGATAGAGAAAATACCAGATATCACCAATTAATTTTTGGACAATCGAGGCACCAAGAATCGCCTCTTGAAATATCAACGGCTCCGATGCGTGTCGGAAAATCTGGGAGCTCCGACTGACGATCGAAATATGCCATTTAATGCGACTTTCTCCTTGGACGAGCAATGGTTCTTCCATCATGATACTGATGGAGGTTGGCCATGAAATCCGTAATGAGCTCATCAGCTCCAATTTTGTTTATCCAGTAATCGCACTATTTATACTGGCCTTGGGTGAAGTTGAAGTGCAGACCTGATTTTCTTTCCCGAAGGTGCACGGGTGAACCTGTAGGCTGTAGTCAAAAAGTGCAAGAATTGACTCTCATTCAGGAAGGTGTGCAGGTGAACCTGGTAAAAAAGAGTGTCATGGTAAATTTTGAAAGCTAAAGAGAATTTCGCAATACTGAAATAGTTATCCCTGCATAATATTCCACGAACTCCAAGCAAATCCAAATACATTAAAATAAACCCCTTAATATAATAGAAATCTGTGATAGGAGGTGAATAGAGATTAGAAAGTTCATCTAACGTCACTGTTCCTTTCAGTGTTTTCCGTTCTTTTAACGTTGCAACGTATAAAACTCGTCAAATTAAATAATTTTCCATGCGGCAAAAGAATACAGAAGCAGAGGGAGTGTTACAAAACAAGACTCATCCTATTTAGTCAAAAGACAAGACATCCCCAAAAGGTATCGACTTAACAGATGGTGATCAACCCTGAGTAAATTTTTGAACTGATTTAAAGCATAAATCAATAATTTCTAAGCATCTCATCTACACTGTACATTCACCTTGGTGATTATGTTCATTAAAATAAAATGAGTTGCACATTCAAGCAATAAAAATTATGAAGCACCTATGCTGAACAAGTACATGGTGAATATCATCAAATAGACTAAGGTAAGCTGCATGCCTTTGTTTTCTGAATGATTTCTTTAGTTTAACAGGTCCAGACTCAAGACTCAATCACTTTGATCAAACTCTATAATGACAGTTCTTAAGGTGGTTGGTCAAGTTCTCCAAAAGGACCATAACTTCTTACACAACCACTTTGATTGAACCACGTGATGCTAGTCCTCAGCATGATCTGATTGCTATAACGTAGACCAATCATTCAATTTGGTAATTCAAGGGAACATATAATATTATTACCTTTTTCCGAGAATCTACTCTGCTCCTAATTTTTGTTTTAAACTGTTTGGCGCCAGCTCCTGAATAATTCTGAATACTTTGGGATTCTTTTCCTTTGAGCCGAATAAACTAAGTAGCATCTCAAATGTTTTTAAATCAAGCAAGAATCCTTTGGCAACCATCTCCTTAAGAAACATTTCTGCATCATCATATTGGCCACCTGCTAGATTTCCTCGGACAATAGTGTTATAAGTAACCTCATTCGGAGACAAACCTAACCGTCTCATTTTGAAAAGATGATCCTTAGCTTCCTCTAATAGCCCGTTTTGACAACATCCTTTAATCAAAACAGTGTAGGTCACCACATTACATTCCAATCCCTTTGAAACCATATCTTCCAAAATAGCTCGACCCGCATTGAGGTTATTGAACCTGATCAAACCATCCATGACGATGTTATAGTATTCATTGTGAAGATGTTGTCCCTTGCGCTCTAATGCTTCTAACAACGATAAAGCCCTCTCCACTTGCCCATTCCTACATAATCCATCCAACATATTACAGTATGTATAGAAGTTAGGTTTTAGTCCGACAGCTTGCATCTCATAGAAAATATCAAGCGCTGCGCGCCAGTTACCCACACGAAATAAACCCCCCAGTATAGTGGTATACGTGATCACATCAGGCTTGATCCCTTTACGAGGCATCTCGTGGAAGATAACCATAGCGTCGTCCATCTTCATCTTTCTACAATAGCCATTGAGTAATGTGTTACAGCTGATAACATTAGGAGTATAATTCTTGCTGCTACCCATTGAATCAAAAACATTCCTTGCTTCATCCATACGCCCTTGAAGACAATATCCGCTCATTAATGCAGTGTAACAGGTGACATTTGGAATTACATGCTGCTGCTTCATGATTCCGATTACATCTTCTGCTTCATCCACCATTCCTTCCTTACATAAAGCATCAATCAAGATGCCGAACGTGACCACATCTGGATACATCTTGAAGAACATCATCTCCTTCATCAGCTTTTTTACTTCCTCCCAACGGCTGAAACCGCACAAACCACCGATCAAAGAATTGTAAGTGAATACATTGGGTAGGATGTCCTTCTTAGGCATTTCGTTGAAAAGCGCCAAGGCTGAGTCTATCATTCTATCCTTACACAAGCCGTCAATAACAATGTTATATATATGTGCATCGGGCTTGAGTGTCCCTTTTTCCATTGTTCTGAGGAATTCAACGGCCATTGAGGTGTTACCAAACTTGCAAAGCCCGTCGACCACAATACCACAAGTTACAATGTCTAGCTCACAAAGCCCTTCTCCGGCCATCTTCCTTATCAACTCTTGTGCTTCGTTAATCCTCTTTTCTCGAAACAGGCCTTTCAGTAAGGTGCTGAAGGTATACTCATTGGCAGAACAGCCCCGCTTGAAGAACCAACCCAGAACGGAGAACCCGTAATCGACCCGGCCCGCAAGGCAAAAGCTGTTGATAGCAACACTCATAGTGTATTCATCGACTGAAACCCCTAAACCGCAGATGTCTTTGAAAAGGTTAATAGCAGCAGAGTACTCTTTCAGATTGACCACACGCGAGAGCAATTGATTAAACTGAACAGTACTTGGTAGAGGCCTCGTTCTCGACATGTTCTCATACAGGTAAAGAGCATCATCCAAGCCATTAATGTTCTTAATTTTTTCACGGAAATTGAATTTAGCAACAGCTCCTTTTGTACAAAAACAACGAGAAAGTAGCGAGGATTGAGAGGAGCAGAGGGATTTACCTGATTCGTGGCGAATTGGGGAAGAAGATAGAAATCGCCATAAGAAAAAGGCATAACTCACCTTCATCATTTGCTCTGTGCAGTGTTCTCACTCTGTGCGCTACTCACGACATAACTCACGCTATACTCAAAAGGAATGAGGATTTAATTAAATATTCTAGGTCGTATTGTAATCCAAATTTAATCGTTTTGCATTTTCACAATTTAATCCAAATTTTTAACTACTTATAAACAAATTTCATTCTTGTCTCAATTTGATTTAATTAAATATTCTAAGTCGTATTGTAATTCAAATTTAATCGTTTTGCATTTTGACAATTTAATCCAAATTTTTAACTACTTATAAACAAATTTCATTCTTGTCTCAATTTGGAACGAAACTTTGCTCGACAACCACGCTTTTGTATGCCGACGGCTTAATATGATGTGGTGGGTCGTTTGACAGAGATGTCACGCATTAAGGCTAATTAGAATAAGGTAATCACCATATTTTTTAAGTCTTTTGTAATGTAAAAAATTAAAAAAAATATACAGAAAGTCTAATAAATAAAGTCATCAACTTTTATCTGATTGCAAAAAGTGTTTCCCTAGTCAAATTGAAATATATTTCTTAAATTCATGGTAAGTCGAATAAAACATATATGATATATCTATATTTAGAAGTCTTACGGGTTGTATTCATTTAAAACTTTAAAGATTTGAGACTTTTTAAAATTTTTGTGTTTTGAATTTAGATTTTTTAAGATTTTTAAAAAATCTTGAGGTATTCATTTGAATTTTCAAATATTTTTAACAAATCACGAGTTATTTAACTTATTTGACACTAAAATTTATTAGATTTGGTGAGATTTCATAAACAAAAACATTATACGAAATATCACTCCAAATTCGACCTCCAAACTTGAGGAGGGTGTATTTGTTTGGAATTTTAAGAGATATTTTAGAATTTTTTGATATTTGAGATTTTTTTTTTTTTAAATTTGAGATTTAAGAGAAATCCCTGAAAATCTTTAAGTCTGAATCTTGGGTGAGATTTCATATAAAGTTTTGGTTTATTAAATCTTACAAAATTTAAAAAAGACTTTTTAGAATCTCAAATGATTACCTCACGACTTTTAAAAGTTAAAAAAAATTAAAAATATAAATAAATACACTAAGATTCATTTTTATATAATTATATATTATATATTTATTCATAAATTGATTATATTATAAATAATTACATTCGACCACATAAGCTTATATGAGTGTAATGATATATTAGTTAATATGTGTGTAAATACATAATTCACTTATTTATTATATGAGATGAGCGTAACAATACAAAATATATTTATTAAAATGATATATATATATATATTTGAAAAAATAACTTTAGTATTATCATAAATAAGAATATTAATTAAAAATTAATTTTTATAAAATAATGGTAAATGATAATATAAGATAATATTCTCATTCCATTCAGGTCTTATCTATATCTATATCTATATCCATATACATATAATAAGAATAACCATTTACTAAAAATAGTAGTAAAAAATTTTAGGAGCATTTAATGCATACATTTTTTGAAAACTTTTTAAATATATTCATTAATTGCTTCTATTTACACATTTTCAAATAACATCAAATCAGATATGATAAAAAATGCTATTTCCTTAAATATTAATATCTGCAATAATTTCATTGATATCCATTATGATAAATTACAAAATTGATTTTTCATGATTCATGTTGATGATATTTGGTCAAGATAAATATTACAACATATTTTAAGTTTTAACCATAATATTAATTTGTTTCACAAATATTCACTTTTTATCCAAAATATTTATAGAAAATCGTAACATGTTAGGTATAATTTTTTCTTCCAATTAATTAGGCGAAATCAAGTTGGTGAATTAATCTTTGCCAATATATTTTTTTCTTAAATTTTATTTCGTTATATATAAAAAATAATTTGTTATTCAAATTAATATAATTTACCATTTAATATATAATGACTAGATACATTAAATAGTTTTACTAATGGTAAAAAATTAAAATTGAAATATATTAACTGTTCTTTAGAATTTATTTGCATATTATTGGTAACCATGATTAATTTTTTTTATCATTTTTTATATTTTGATTTCTTTCTATAATAAAATTCTTTTAAAATATAAATCCTTATAATGCAAATTAGAAAAATCTTGATTATAGAAGAGATTTAGTTTTGGCCTTTGCTAAATCAAAGTTGTTCAATTATTATACAAAATTAAATCATAAAAAAGCATGTGCGTATATTTTGTAAAATATTTATACACTATTTAATTGAAAATTTATCTACATATTTTAAATTGATTACATAAATAAATAATACTAACGTGTATTAAATATTTTTTATTACATAAAATAAAAAGAAAAAGAAGGCCAACAACTTCTATAACTTTTATAAATAATAATGACATTATATGACAACAAAGTTTATAATAAAATGATAATTAAGTATTATATGGTGAACAAGAATAAGTGAAACTGATATTTTCTCTTATATCAAGGAATAAATATATATACAAAAATCAAATTTATATTAGCACAAATGTGTTAGTGAGATAATATATTAATTATTTTACAAGCTAGTCCAAACATACTTATATTTAATGTTCTGGCTAAAAAAACACTGATTAAAAGAGGTGAAAAATAGATGATAACCTTTTTGCATTTTACACTTAAACAGACACAGCCTCTTAAAATAACTCATTTAATATATTTGTCTCGTGCATCGCACGGATACGTACTAGTTTCAAAAAAAACTTGTTTCATTTCATTCTCATGATCATTCCATTACTCAACTCATTTCACTCCTATTAAGTTTCATTTCATCATATCAATCATAATTATAGACATAACATTTCATCCGCTTAAGTATGAGACAATTACAAATTTTAAGCTAGTTTACATACTTACACATTACAAGCAGGGTACAACCATTTATAGACAAACAAAAGTGACTGTCAACTTCTTATCTAATCACAAAATAAACTAACCCGAAATTTTTAGCTTTTTATATCCCCGTGCGTTTTGTAAAAAGGACCGAGTGTTAGAAACAAGAAGCAATGAAACAAATATTTTAATTGCGCACAAACATATCTCAATAAAACTCGATTTTGTAATTACTCAATACAATTGATCATCAGTAGTACGGTTATTATTGAACTGAACTGAGCTTAAAATTTTTAAGCTCGAGTTCGACTAGTTTTTGAACATGTTCCTAATCATAATAATCGAACAGAAAATTTCATTCGTGTTTGTTCTTTTATTAGTTTGACACGTTCGTGTTCGTTCATTTAAATAGTCGAACTTATTCATAAACCGTTCAAATTGTTCAACAAGCTCGTATTCAAATTGTTCAGCAAGTTCGTGTTCGCGTTTGTTGACTTTTTTTTTTTTAATACCGTACAAGTTATTTTATTTAATATTTAATATATATCCATATTTATATTATACTATATATGTATATACTATATATATATAATATATAAAATTATAAAATACTTTTTGTTCGCGTACGCTTTCGTGTTTGTTCGATAACTAAACGAGCATAATTTCATGTAAGAGTTCGGATCGATTACTAAACAAAAGAGCTATTATCGAACACGAACGAACACGAACGAGCTTTGTTTGCGAAGTTCGATAACAGCCCTAAGTAGTAGTACGTAACCATAAGAAACTGAGATGGCATTACCACAAATATCTAATGATCATCAACTCCTCAAAGCCCATAAGGGAAAGGGAATGTAAACTCTCCACGTAAAAGAAACTCTAAATGTTTTTATTAACTAAAGGCAAAAATAACATTGGTGCTTTCACTTGCAACAAAAAATCAAACTTAAAAAGGGCCGGCCCAACCTTTCCCTATCATGTTCCGGCTTTACGTCTGCCAACACGAGCAACAAATCCAGCCTTGATTGGAGCAACCGATCTCCCAGAACCGCACTATAAGATTCCAGGAAAAAAATCCTCATCTTAATTTCCAAAGCATTAAAGTCTATAGCAGTATAAATATAACTAGTTGAAATAATTTTCAAAATTAGCTGGATGGGAGAGGGAGAAGCAGAAGAAACATAAACTGTAAAATATACAACAGCAACTCTTATCACACCCAAGGCCTCAGAAATATAAAGTCTCATTCAAGACAAAGTATTCAGACAATGTAGGCAAATTGATCAATCATCACAGGCCAGGGTGAAATCAAGTAAAATGTTTCGCTTCCAATCAATTTTGTTCCAAATAAAAAACCAGAGTTGCATGAGAAGAAATGTGTACCTTTTCACATCTGAGGAAGAAAAGACGGTTCTCCTTTGAGAGGATGGTATCTGGACTTTTGCAGCCATTGCAAATGACATACTCATCTACCGACATCAATCAGAAGCAAATATAATCAGGCACAAACATCTATAGACCTTAAAGGCCAAAAGGCAACATAAAGAATGATCAATATGTAACTTCCATAAACGTCAGGCTATCATACAACAGAGTACAGGAGGAAAGAACTTACTGATATAACGCCGCAGAATACCCTCAAAGTTCTTGGGAGCAAATCTCCCTTTCACGACCAACCTTTGTTGTCCATCCAAAGACCCACTTGTTCCCATTTCAGCCAGCAAGAAAGTCATAACATGCTCAGGTTGTCTATGCATACTACAATAAAAGTTAACCAAATTCAGAAGTTATTAATAAATATATCAGCATTTTATTCATGTAAAAAGGTGGAAAAACATGAAGACACACAATCTGAACATCTAAAACGGGAAGTCGAAACAAGTGAAATGATCCAATCAGAAAAAAATGTTGAAACCAGATCCCTCAGGCATAGTTCCTTCATTTGTATTTTTTGACTTTTAGTCTTTTACAGAGGAAAAAAAGTCAACAGCTAAAAGTTGCTGGAAACTTCTTTGGAATTCTAGGTTACCAGAAGATTCAAACCATAACTATCCGAAGCACCAACTAGCTGTAAATCACAAATCTCGATTTCAAGGAGGGTAAATTTAAGAGAAAGAAGGAACTACATACGTCTTGCACAGGTCCATGAAATTCACAAAAACTGTTTTCTTAGTTCCTTCACGAAGTACTTGAGGAGGTCTCATAACAGTCCTGCGCCGATCACCAGCAAGCTCCGGATTATTCTCACGTAGAATGTTGAAAACTCGAAAAAGAAGCTCCTCATAATGATAATCTCTATCTGTTCCTTCCCATGGATATTGTTGCAAAATGATTCCTTCTCCTGCCTCATCGTCGCCAACTACATCTAAAATGAGGGACAAGGTTCAAGATGGAAAGAAAATCTAGAAAAAGCCATATGAGAAAAAATGTACAAACTAGGATACTCCTAACCATCCACGTCTTCTGCAGTATTCTCTTTTTCCTCAACCAGAAGATCAGTGTGCGCCTGAAAAGGTACCACAAGTGTAATATAAGAACCATGCACAATATGCCCAGTATAGCAACACGAGCACAAAATAACTACTGACCGGCTTCTTCTTTTTCTTTTTCAGACCAGTAAATGATGTTTCACCAGTTTCGGAAACTGCATGAGAACGTTACAGTAAGACAGAAATTGCTCAATAACAAAATTCTCAAATATATAAAGTTTTCAAAATTAGAATGCAGGCCTTAATAAGATGTACACCTGTTAAACTCTCAGTTTTCTCTACTAAAGAGTCAACATGCTCTTCTTCAACTAGGTCTTGAGGCATTGGTTTCTTCTTTTTCTTCTTTTTTGTTGGATCAAAAGGAACTATCTGCAACATAATAATAGAACATTTTGAATCAACAAGCATTTCAGCACCATCTTTTGCTAAAAATATCACTTGAAAACAAGGCAAGCTAGAGTTAAAAGCAGTGTTCTAAAAGTCGCTAGGCGCCCGCTAGGCGCTCGACCAGCGCATAGCGCCTAGGCAGCGCCTAGAAATCTATATTAAATACCTTATTTTTTATTTATATTAACTACCTATAAAATAAAATTATCTCAACTTATAATAAATTCACACACCAAAGTCCAAATAATAATATTAATATATATTAAAAAAAATATGAGAACAAAATAATGTAATTAGTATTTAAAAAAAAAAATTGAAAATTTGCCGCCGAGCCCGCCTAGGAGCGCCTAGATGCCGCCTAACCACCTGGCCGCCGAGCTCGCCAAGCCCGCCTAGGAGCGCCTAGGGCCGCCTAGCCGCCTGGCCGATTTTTTCTGCCGATTTGTGCAAATCAGAGGCGCCCGGGCACAGGCGGCCGATTTTTAGAACTGTGGTTAAAAGTTGAACTATCCCAACAATAAATATGAAATGCTTAACCTATATTTGTAACCAAACAGCACACAACTGACACCTTTATAATCAAGCTAAAGTGCTAGTAAAGCTACGACTTCAATATGCATTACACATCAAAGAATTGTAATTGCATTGCCCTATAGGTTCTCAGTTTCTCACATCTTATTACTTAATGACAGCTCATATATAGCTCCAAAAGAACGAAACAGACTTGTCTCTTCCCTGGAACTTTGTTAAAATCAGCAATTTTTTAGATTCGGTAAATTCAAATAGCTTTGAGCTATTCGATACAAACAAAAAGGATGAAAACTCAACAAACTGACCATATCACAAGCTTATACATCAAAAACAAAGCATAGTACTAAAAAATGTTGCCATACTATTTGTTGAAAGGAAAAGAGAGAATGAAATAAGCCAGGGAAAAAATTGAAACCAAAAGGAAAGCACTACTATCCACAATAGCAAACAGAAACATAGTATTTCCTTTTATACTTTCGGTGAATACTTACATCTGGCACATTACAATTACCCTCCTCCTTCATCACATTCTGATTTTCATCATCAGCCATGTTATCCTTAGATCTGCAACAGAAATCCAAAACGTAAACAGACTTTCCTCACAACCCTAGTTCACACACGAACAGACACATGGCCATTCAAAGTATTCCAAGATTAAAATTTTCTGGTAGCAGAAACCCTAAGAAGGGCACGTCATACATTAAGCCGTAATGCACTTCAAAAAATGAACACAACATTTCGGCAATTCAACTTTAAACATATCCTTTCCCTGTCAAAGAGAAAGCAACAGGCTTTCTTTNAAATGAAAGAACTAATACTATCCAAACATCCTTATCCAAAGGCACATTAGAACTGCTTACATCCAAACCAAATCAGAACAAAAACCCAAATCTTCGACAGCAATCGCTTTGCCAGAATATGAAATCAAACAATCAGAAAAGTAGAACACCTCACACCAGAAAACGAAAATCCAGTAGAAAAAACCCTACCTGATCAATATAACGGATCCAGAGAACCACGAAGGATATGCTGCTATAAGAAATTTGCCACAAAACCCTAGTTTTTGTTTCTTCCAGAAATAGATAGTCGTTTATGGAGGCGAGGTGAGATTTATATTGGAAAGTTGCTTATACATCTCATCCTGCTCTAGTACTTTATCAAGAATTAATGATTACTTATTTCTTAAAACCTTTGTTTAAAACTTTATATATTATTATATTAGTTTACTAATCGTTTATATTAATAAATAATATTTTAACATTTATATTTATTATTTGATATATAAAAAAATAATAATTTTATCTATTTTTGTTAATCATAATACTCAACTATTATTTTTATAAAAAATTATTATCGTAAATTGTCATTATTATTATTTACGATACTTATAA